CGGTATTGGCGACATGCTGTTTGAAGCTGGACGGGGCGGATGGCCGCCTGAGCTGGGGCGAACCCCTCATTTTATCGCCAGATAAAAGCCGCGGTACGGTACGCGGTTGGGTCTACAGGATCTTTTTGTTTCTCAGGCCTGCCACAGTATGTGTAGGTGGTCAGACGGAGCTGCAGCCACCTGATTGCAAGTCCGAGGTGATAGGCTGATAAGGTCCTCGGAGACTTGAGGAAGGGATGACCGCGTGCACGGGCCATGCTACCTACCGCTCCCCATCGATTGCCTCTGCCGCATTTTCCGCACGGCATCAATGTGAAGATGTCGGTATGGGATCGACTCTCTGTTGAGCTCGTTGATGAGGTAGCGTTCTTCGTCTTCCGATTCGATACTGTAGGCTAACGAAAAGTCCAGATTTTCTCCTACCTTGCAAGGCCCGTGACTGAACCCCGGTATTCATGGGATAAGAACAGGCCTATCCACGATTTTGATTACATATGTGGCCTCGGCGGTTATGACTACCCACATGTGCTTCACCGGGAGCTGGAGCTTCGGCTGGTCTGTAAAGCCTTTGACCACGCTATGACCCGTCTATACTTCCAACATAAATATGCGACATTTCACACCTGGGAGAACACAGCTACCTCGAGACTTCAGAGATACATTATTGAAGAAGAGGCTAAGTTTGCGCCTTGCATCAAGCGCTTACAGATCATGTTGTCTGAATCAAGACTGAGCCCAGACGGATTGTTCGAAAAGAGAGACGTCGAAAAGAATCCTGGGCTGGCTGGAAAGTTGGCCCTTTTGGTCGCGAACACGTCAGCCTTTGTCCCTCGTATCGAAGAGGCTGTCTCTAAGTTACCAACCCTAAAACGCCTTGTTGCTACGCTCGAAGAAAATTGGCGTAGCGCACCATTGGAAGTTGATCAGAGAGACGATGAAGACTATGGCCTCAAGCTTGATCTTAACTTCCTGCAGCTCATTCGTAGCAACATCGCGAGCATATTCTCCTCACCACGCGTACATCTTCCTTTGCTGACTTATCTTCGACTTACGCTGCCCTCAGCATACGACATCGCGACCATCGGCGCTTGTATTCAGGACGATATGGCCATGCAACTGCGACATTTGTTTTTGGAATACATCGATGGCACAGGGCCATTCGGTGATCGTGCGTACGATTTTGACGAGAGGTCTGTTAACGAAGGACACGGAAGTCCACTCTACTCCAACCTGCAAAAGCAGTTTCCAAATACGGATTACATGGACGGTATATGCACGTTGGTGTCGCGTTGTCGCAATCTCGAATCTCTTGGCCTGAAGGGCACTCAATACTGCAACCTTGAATCGCTCATTTGGCGACCGACGAGAGGGGGGCTCAAAAGCTTGTACATTCACCGTGTGAGAACACCTTCTTCAGTCCTACTTGCTCTTCTGTCCCCGTCCACCGGTATCTCAGAGTCATCGTCGAACTCTATAATTGTTTCGATGGAGCTTTCAGACGTAGACCTCCACGGAAGTGCATGGAGCACGATCTTTGATCACTTGGGATCTAGTCCGCTACTCGCCTACTTTGATGTGAAGGACATTCTGACTGAGAGGAGCGACCAACGGAGCCTAGTCAATTTGATAACAAAGGTTGATGCTCGGGAAGGTTACTTGGGTGAGGACCTACAGGACCTATACCGGGAGAGTTTGGACAGTTTTTTGAATGGAGAAAGTAATGGTTGAGGTTATAGAGTACATGAGTGCCATTAATCATATTTGGCTTGTCCAATTACGATCTGTTCAGAAAGCTAGGGTTTGCCCTGCCTCCTTAGTAACAGCCGCTTTAACGTTCGCGCTGCCCAATAGTTCGTACTTGTAGGGCAAGCTTTGCGCATTCAGTGTACCCTTGGGAGCTGTATTGGCGCTCTGCCCACCAAACAACACGTCCTCAACGACTGCGTATCCATCTTCCGCACTACTCTCCGTGTACACCATCTTCTTGCCACTGTTCTCGAAAACAGTGCTTTGAACTAGGGCTTGCGCACCCATGCGGGTGTTCACGCCTGTAGACTGCTCGTTGTAATAGTTGTTGAAGATGTGCGCTGTGCCGAATCGGAGCAATGGACCGCGACTGTTGACGCGGTAGAAGTGGTTGTTTGCGTATGTCACGCGGAGGTGGCCAGTGTCTTCAGCGCCGTTCTTGTCGGAATGGCCTACCAAGGTGCCTTTGGACTGCGTTATGTTAGCCGTCACGTATGGTTGCGGGGATGAGTATAAGGACCTACATGGTTGTGAAAGTAGGTGTTGGAGATAGTCACGAAGTCGGCAGCGTGCGAAAGATCGACCAAGCCATCGTAGGTGTCTTTGCCAACAGTCTCGTCCCCGTAGTAGTCGCAATGATCGACCCATACATTGGTGGAGAGTTGAATGGTAGTGGCATCGCCGTACTCGGCGAGTACCTTGCCGATCTTCATGTTGCGTACAATCACATTCTTCTGGCCTAGAATTGTGAGACCGATGCCAGTCAGGGCTGTAAAGTGTTAGTCAAAGCTCATGCAACTTGAAAGGGCTAAAGACGTACAGCTTCCAGTTTTCCCAATGATGGTCTTGTCCGAGCCAACCTGTACTTTTGCAGCGCCACTGATGGCTCCTTCAACTACGATGTTCAAAGGTCCGGGAGAGTTGGCCGCGGCCGAGAGCTGGGGTAAAGTGCTCACGGTGGTAGTAGGACCACCGGCTCCCCCTCTTGTCCCGCCGTTTGCCATCGCGAAACCAACATTAGCAGCATCTGTAATGCTAGCTCTCTTCTCCAAGGCTCTCGCTGGTGTGTCCTGATAAGTCGGGGTGGGCGATGCTGTGACTGCGGCTACCGCAACGAGTAGAAAGGAGGTAGAAAGCTTCATGTTTAGTACTTGCTGCGATGCGAGATGATGGCGCTTGGTTGTTCTGGCAGAACCCACGTATACGTTGAAGCTCCATTATGTATAATGTGTCGGCGTTTGGACCGCAATAATTTTCGCTGATCATATCCGTGAATCTCAAGGGGTGGCTTGATCTCCACCGACTTCATATAAACAACGAACCCTCTTAGGTGGGATTCCATGGCGAATGTCGCCGCGGAAACGCCTGCGTACATGGAGCAACGTGAATCATTCCGCGTGACCAATGTGTAGCTCGATTGGGTAGTTTGGACGTGCATCACGGCTGTGGCCGAGCGTTGGCTGATGCATGCGAAACATATCGGTCCGGAGAAACCCCTGGTTGGAGGAAGTTAGCTCAATCCGGTGACCCCAGATTTGCATCTATCTAGCATTACAATGCCAAGTCTGAGGAATATCGTTAGCTTAACGAATGTTGCGGGGAATACAACGCGTTGATACTGTTAATGTTGAATGAATATGCTTGTGGATGATGCGCATAGCCATATTCTGATTTTGGTGTGAGTTAACATCGCGACATCGACCCCGGCACCGAGCACGACTGCAACGATTGAGGCATCCTCGATCTTCAAATCCAGGCACGGTTTTCATAATCGGCGTTAGTACCTCCAACCATGATGTTCCCATTGCCATTGGCAACCGCAAAACCAGCGCAACTGTGATCAAGTCTCGTGCAGCCATCAATGACAGCCAAGACACTCCATGAAAGATCAATGCTATGCCATACAAGTCAGATTTGTTCTGTTTCATAGTCGATTGTGCGGGGTAAAGGAGCGAAGATGAGCATACCAGTAACTACTCTCACGTTGCCCCGTTGTACTTATACCAACGACAACGCCATTGAACCCGTGCCAACACACCGTTCTCGGTTCTCTACTGTCGAACTCACAGAGAGTTTTTCCGAGGATCCGAAGATAATTGTAGCAAGAAATGAGATTGTTGACGTCCGTGTAGGAGCCATCTTCCGGGCCGCACACCAGTGTGCTTTCTGAGCTGGCTGTTTGAACTGCGCAGAGTATTAGACGATGTCTACAACGATGCGACAGGGATTTGAGAGGGTACGTGCTCACCGCTCGAATCTCGCACTATTGGCAACTCAAGTAGGTCAGCTGTTGTAAGGTTCAGAGACGCCAAAGACGGGAGACCTGGTCCCGGGATGAATTTGGAGTGCATATCTGGGATTGCATCAAAACAGTATCCGAACGTCAAGAGGGAGGCAACGAAAAGGTAGATTGTGAAAAGCATGGTAAAGAGACAGGCGTCTCGAACATGCCAGTGTCTGAATTGGCCTCAGATATATCCTGTCACGCAATAGCTATGTTACCATCAACACCATGCTGTTTGTTGCCTTGGTCATGGTGTGACTGCTGGAAACTTGAAATCTCGCTTTCCTGTACACGTTGCATAGGTTAGCTACGGGTACGACTGAATTAGAAGAGCGGAACATACCAAACAGTGCCTCCAGAAAATGTTTATCAATATGAGTCTCCCCTGCTTGTTGCACATGATGGTAGACCGATCTCGCACAAGGTTACTGCGCATGGGCGCTATCGATTGATAGCCATGCGATCACAATTCAGCACACGCGCCCGGGGAACGTGCGTACCAGTCCAACGAAAAAAATACTAACCAACACGGTTACATGTGTGTCGTGACGATGTTCGGCTCCCGTGATTGTGAGCGAGAGTGGTTGCTGTCAACGGGTACTCTGCTGTTACAGTCACACCAAAATACTTTCCAAATATCCGACCAATTGAAGAAGACGAAAGAGAAAGGCAGAAGAATGGCGCTCGGATAAGTCTTGTGCGAATGCGAATTTAGTAAAGGCCGATGTATTCAGAAATAACCATGCGAGTGAGGATAATGTGATGCGACGTATCGATGGCTGTATGGTAGATGTGATATATCAACTCAGCTCGTGCTGACAAGTGTCATGCCTCAACAGTGACCAGGTGTATCCAGGGAAGCGATCGCTGCTCGCGGAGTAGAAAACACTCCTACGAACCGGGAACGAGCGCCATCGCGCCAAATAACAAAACAATGCAGGTGCAGTGGGAACGCAGTACCGACATGTGTCTACCTATCTCTGCCTAGTCTTTCCTCATAGTCATCCACCAACTCGTATGCCGGCCTAAACTTCGGCTTCGAGGCGCCGGTCCCGTTCCCAATTTGGGGCACTTGTTGCGTAGACGGCTGGCGTACGAGCTTTGGGTTTGGGTGAGTATCAGTAGTGCCGCCTAATGAGGTATATCCGCGGTCGTATAGCGAGCAGTAAGGTATGTTGAGGAAACGTATAAACTGAAGAAGGTCAGTAAGCAGATGATACAGTGTGTGCATTGCGCGTACGGTCCATATATCCACATAGTGCCAGTCTATGACAGGATGTATGCGCACAAAGGCTGGCCACCCGGAGTCGGTCGGGTCAAAGAACTTCAGATGTTGGCCATGCGGATCCGTCCGCCGTGTCCCCACCAGTATCGCCTTGACAGATGGCGTGTCTTTTAAGTAGTCGGCGAAGGCAGCCTTCATGGGTTTCGCGTATTCTAACAAGGCCAGCCAGTATATCTTGCTACTATGCGCGACGAACTCCTCGACCTCGGGAAAGGGGTGGGCGTCCTGAATGTACACGCACTGTACGGCGGTTTCGATGCTGGACGAGGGATTTGGGGTCTGCGTAAGACCCCGCCTGTGCATCGCGCAGAGGTATAGTATAAGCAGAACTAAACAGTCTTTACCGCCATTATACGATAAAGACAGCTCTGGTAGACTACGTAGCTGTCAGTCCCTAGCTTCCGCACGCCGCCTACATGGTCAGCACCAACCTGTACTTCTCCAAAGCCTCTCCTATGACCCTCAGCGAGGTTCGCGTCTGCTCCTGCACATTCTTGACGCGATCAGACACATCTGTCGCGTCGAGAAACGTGACTATGCGGTCATTGATGCGCGTGCATAGCTCGTCGAAGGGCAGCGGGGTATCGGAGACGAGGGGATCTGAAAATCCGGAGGCGGTATTCATTGCAACAAAAGTGCGCTAATCACGACATCAGATGCAGATGTAGGCGATTACGGTAGGGGTAGTGTCGACGATTGGTCGTACGGGGGTGCTGGTTCATGCCATGATGCGTGTGTCGGCCGTGCCAGGAGAGGCGAACAGGTGGAGGTAGCCGGTGTGCCTTATCGATAAGCGGACTGGATCCTCGGCACATCTCCATGCGGCAAGGCGGCGGCTGCCTCACCTGGCCACTCAGGCAGCGGACAGTAAGCATCGCAGCGGCCATCGGACGGGGCTCCACCACGAGATGCACCATGGGAGAAATTCGGTCTTGAGGCTCGCGTCGAGCTCTACAAGGCGATCTAGGCTGATTGATTACACCGAACGCGCATCTATGATGGTCTGATTCGCCGCTCTTCGGCCCTCGCCCCAGACCCTGACTTGCACTAAAGAATTGCGTGCTTTCGGCACGCGTTGTCATGACCTCTTAAAGGGAATTTTTCCACTGCCGTTGCCGCTGACTATGAGGACTGTCGCCGACGGTCCGAAGTATTACTACTGCTCCTCTCCCCCGTAGACATTTCCTTACTGTTACCGTCAACCCTGAAATCGCAGTCAATATGGGGTCTATCTCGACTGCAGGAGAGGCTGGTACGTCCCCGCAACCATTCGCCCCACCAATGCCTTTACCCCAACATGTCGCTATGGGAGAGTAGTGGGAGGCTGCAAATGCACATATACTGACCTGCATGCTGTGTAGTGGCCCGAATTGCCCACCTGGCCTCCGACGTGATCGTATCGGTCGTCCCTTCCTTCACAACCGAGTCCGAGTTCTCTGAGCCGCTGCGGGGACTCCAGAAGCACAACGCGCCCAGCGTTGTTTGCAAGACACAGCCAGAGGTATGTTCGCATGCTTACTGCAGCCGAATGGCTCGTACTAACTTCCTACCCAGATCCTCACTGTCCGCCAAAATGCCGACCCTCTGCTCTCCGTCTTCCAGCCCATCCGCTCGGGCAAGCTCACCAGCGTCACCACAACCTCGTCCATTCTCGTAAAGTCGATACCGCACCTCTACAAGCTCGCACAATATCCCGTCGTCCTCCACGTGTCAGTGGCGCCTTCGGGCTTCCCTGACTTCTCCGACATCACCTCGATCAGACAGTCTGGATTTGCCTTCATCCAATCCGAGACGCTACAAGAGTTGCAAGATCTTGCGCTCACTGCCCATGCTTTGGCCATCAAGTCGGGCAAGGGTGTCATCCACTTCTTCGATTCGGGCGCGACCGCTTTTAAGAAGACTGTCGAGGTAGAGGATGCCGACCTGGTCCGAAGCGTCATCGACCTGGACGCGGTGGCGGCATACCAAAACACCAAGTCGGAGGAGACCACACTATACGCCGACGATGGCAGGAATCCGACACTGTCCTTCGCTCGGAGCCAGGCTGTCAATGCCGCTCCAGCAGCAGCGCCCGTCAGCCTTCCCGAGCACCCCAAGTCGCTTCCGGCATCGGAGAGGAACAGCCAACGCGCCGATTCTTCTTCTGGCTCATCACAGCGCGACGCTAGTACGAGCGGTGCGTCGGTGTCTTCTGCAACCACAGTAGAGTCATTGATCTCTAAGCCCGTCTCATCCGAGGATATTTACCGCTTCGCCACACAGATTTGGGAAACCATCCGCGATGCCACCGGACGAAGCTACGATGCCTTTGCTTTCTCTGGCACTGGTAACGAGGAAGCTGCCATCTTCCTCTTTGGTGCCGACACTGCCGTCTGGGCTACCGAGTTGGACAGCGTAGAGGAGACCAAGGCATACGCCAACACAGCCGTCATCACAGCCAGGCTATACCGTCCCTGGCTGGGTGCCTCCCTTGCTCCCTTGCTTCCTCGGTCGCTTAAGAGGATCGCCGTGCTGGAACAAGTCCGACGAAAGACTACCCGATGGGGCCCTGTTCTGCTCGACCTTCTGATGTCGCTCAAGTCGACCGGGGGCGCCTCTCCTACGGTCGTAGGATACCAACTTGGCTACATCAACGAGGACACTGTATCGCAAGCAATGCGCGGCGTTTACCAGAACTTGATGAGCGAGACGCCTGTACAAAACCTCGTCATCGGCAACCTCGATGGACCGGAGCCCCAGGCTATCAAGGTCGAGCAACCAGGGTTAGAGAACGCCTACATGAAGATCTTGAACCAGGTCTTTGGTGAGAAGCTTCACATTGCTAACCAGCTTGGTTCGCAGCACGCCGGCATCTCCAACGAGATCTCCTCCACCCCAGAGTACGGATTCGGCTCGCTAGTAGCGCGCAAGGAACATCGTCAGCGGTTCGTGGACGAGGCTGCGGCTGCTTCCAAGGAGAACGCTTTTACCACACAAGCGCCCAGGGAGTGGCTATCGAAGTGGGCACTGAACGCCGATGATACCGACAAAGCCAACGACCTGGCCTCTGAGGTCATCGCACGCTTGGGCACCGACGGTTCGCCCGCTGCCAGTCAGCTGTTGTCATCAAAAAAGCTCTTCTACAAGGAGTCACCATGGTTAATTGGCTCGGACGCCTGGGCGTACGACCTGGGTAACTCTGGTGTGCACCATGTCCTTGCCTCTGGCGAGAATGTCAACATGCTCATCGTTGACTCAACACCATATTCCGAGCGCGCAGCCGCCGACGCTGCGAGGCGGAAGAAGGACATCGGTCTGTACGCAATGAACTTCGGCAACGCTTACGTTGCATCGGTCGCTGTGTACAGCTCTTACACCCAGGTTCTTGAGGCTATGATCGAGGCTGACAAATTCAACGGTCCCTCCGTCGTGCTTGCTTACCTGCCGTACGAGAAGGAGAACGACACGCCCCTAACTGTCTTGCAAGAGACTAAGAAGGCTGTCGACCTTGGTTACTGGCCATTGTACCGATGGGATCCACGCGCCGAGGAGAAGGGTGAAGAGAACTTCAAACTTGACTCGGAGCGAATCAAGAAGGAGTTGGAGGAGTTCCTGTCCCGTGACAACTACATGTCTCAGGTCATGAAGAGGCATCCTGAGTTCTCATCCAACATCTCTGGATCCTACGGAACCGAAGTCAGGCAACTGCAAAAGCGCAAGGCCAAGGATGCTTACAGCAAGCTTCTTGAAGGACTCCAGGGCGACCCTATGACCATTCTCTTCGCTTCCGACAACGGTAACGCTGAGAACCTAGCAAAGCGTCTAGGGAATCGCGGCAAGGCTCGTGGTCTCAAGACTATGGTCATGGCTATGGACGACTTCCCAATTGAAGACTTGCCTAACGAGCAGAACGTCATCCTGATGACTAGTGTAGCTGGTCAAGGAGAGTTCCCTCAGAATGGTCGCACGTTCTGGGAGACCGTCAAGGACTCTACGGATCTGGATCTTGCAACTGTCAACTTTGGTGTCTTCGGTCTCGGTGACAGTCACTACTGGCCGCGCAAGGAGGACAAGATCTACTACAACAAGCCCGCAAAGGACCTTCATGCTCGTCTGCTCACTCTCGGTGCTAAGCCTTTGGCCGAGTGTGGTCTTGGAGATGACCAGGACCCAGATGCGTACCAGACTGCGTACGCTGAGTGGGAGCCAAAACTCTGGGAGCAGCTTGGTGTTGCGAACGTCGAGAACCTACCCGAGGAACCGGCGCCGCTGACCAACGAGGATATGAAGGCCGCTTCAAACTTCCTCCGAGGAACCATTGAGGAGGGTTTGGCCGACACTAGCACCGGCGCCATCTCTGCAAGCGATCAACAGCTCACCAAGTTCCACGGAACCTACATGCAAGATGACCGTGACCTTCGCGATCAACGCAAGGCCCAGGGTCTCGAGCCAGCATACTCCTTCATGATCCGCTGTCGACTACCTGGCGGTGTCTCGACGCCCAAGCAATGGCTACAGATGGACGAGATCAGCACGAAGCTCGGTAACGAGACCATGAAGCTAACCACCCGTCAAACCTTCCAATTCCACGGTGTTGTCAAGGGCAAGCTCAAGCCGGCTATGCAGGCTATCAACAAAGCCTTGATGACCACTATCGCGGCTTGCGGTGATGTCAACCGAAACGTCATGTGCAGTTCTCTCCCAACTCAGTCAAAGTACCACGGCCAGGTCCAGAACATCGCACAGAAGATCAGCGACCACCTTCTTCCTTCCACCACCGCCTACCACGAGATTTGGCTGGAGGATGATGAGACCAAGGAGAAGCGCAAGATCGCTGGTGAAGCTGTCCAGGACCACGAGCCACTCTACGGCCCTCTTTACCTCCCGCGAAAGTTCAAGATCACCATTGCCATTCCACCTCACAACGACACCGATGTTTACGCTCACGATATCGGTCTCATCGCCATCAAGGGTGAGGACGACAACCTCATAGGTTTCAACGTACTTGCCGGTGGCGGTATGGGTGTGACGCACAACAACAAGAAGACCTACCCGCGAACTGGAAGCATGTTCGGCTACGTCCCAACCGATCAAGTGCACCTTGTCTGCGAGAAGATCATGCTCGTCCAACGCGACCACGGTGACCGCAAGAACAGGAAGCACGCCCGTCTCAAGTACACCATTGATGACATGGGTATCGATGTCTTCAAGGGCAAGGTCGAAGAGCTCTGGGGCCAGAAGTTCGACGAGCCTAGGCCTTTCAAGTTCCAGAGCAACATCGATACATTTGGCTGGCAGAAGGACGAGACTGGTCTCAACCACTTCACTTTCTTCATTGAGAACGGCCGTATTGAAGACACTGCCGACTTCCCAATGAAGACCGGTCTGATCGAGGTGGCCAAGGTACACAAGGGCGAGTTCAGGTTGACTGGTAACCAGCACTTGATCTTAGCCAACGTCGCTGACGAGGACCTGCCTGCTATGAAGGAGCTGCTCAAGAAGTGGAAGCTTGACAACACCAACTTCTCTGCAATGAGGTTGTCCAGTTCTGCCTGTGTTGCCTTCCCCACTTGCGGTCTTGCTATGGCTGAGTCCGAGCGTTACCTACCTGAGCTGATCTCCAAGCTCGAAGGCACGCTCGAAGAG